CTAGTGGATTATTACATTTGTGGGTTGGATGAATGGCTTATACTTACTCTTTGAAGGGATCCAGTCTTTACACAGAGAACACTTTCTTAGAGATTGCAAATATTTATGTGATGAGATGGATGAATGGCTGTTTTTTGACTTGCAATATATGCATCACCACCAATGTCATTTAAAGAACCAGTGTGTAGGATCTAGTGAAATTACACTAGACTGAACACTGCTCACCTCTACATTTGATGACTTGAGAATGAGAACAGGCTGTGAAGTGTGTCGGAGGGACTATAGTGGGTGCGAAAGGCACTATCTACTTGTGTTTGGTTTGGCTCTTCTGGGCTACTGTAGAAATATAAAATGACACGATTGTCATTAAAGCCGACAGTGCAGGCCTGGCAGAATTACAATGTGTACTCAGTGTTACAATGTGTTTGTTTTTTTTCCTGCAGACTCCACCTTTGTAAGGATGGGAGGTGCAGTCGATCTGCCGTACTCCATTATGCTTCAACAGTCTCACTATCAGGGAATCGAGCTGTGTGTCATGTTGAACAGTGGAGATGAATGATGCTGTTGCTGCTTGTGCTGGGACTGCTGATGCAGAGCTGGAAGCAACTGAAGGTGGGGAAAAAAAATGCAGATAAATGAATGACATTAGTCAGAGTCAGAAGATTGGTGCAAAACAATACTATAAGATAAAAATAGAGACAGTAAAAAGAGACAATATATATAAAAATAAAAAGAGAGACAATATGCACAATATAACCGTTAATTAACGAACAAAGAGCTGTACAGTTTGCAGGAATGTGCAAACTCTTGTTCAGGGAATGTGCACGTTAGCAGTGTGACATAGTATGATAGTGCAATGTGCGGTTCAAGACTCCGTGTCAGTGGGGGTCCTGGGAATTGTTGATGAGCTGCAGATGGGAAAACACTGTTTTTGTCTTGTCACTTTGGTCCTGCTAGACTGCAGCCTCCTGCCAGAGGGAGGTGTCTCTGAGAGTTTGTATCTTACCGGCATGCAGCAACAGCCAAAGTGCGGTCATCCCTGAACGTGAGTTTGGAACACGGGACAGCCAGGAGCCCTAAATCAGAGACCTGGATGTCTTTATAGTGTGTATAGCTGTTTACCCTCCCTTTGCGTTTCTGATTGGCTCCATTAATCCTCTCTCTTTGCCTCTGTGTTTTCCATGCCTCGTCCAGCGCCTCGCCACTGCCAGTTGCCAGCCCAGGTGTGGTAAGCGAGATTCTTTATGCATGAATTTTTTTCTAATGCGTCATCTTTATCCATTTCTAAATCTTGATACTGCATTCACCACAATAGCTTTTATCTAAAGTGCCGCAACATGTAATGGCACGTACCTAAGGTTTAACAGGGAGATCCGTCAATGATAAATGTGCTGACACATTTAACAGCTACATTTAAAGTACCAGAGTGTCAGATTATTAAAGGTGATGTGTAATATTAGCCAGGACCGTTCTGGGGCATGCTCTCTCACTCACATGGCTTACTGGGAGATGTTACCACATGTCCTCATGTACATGACAGACACCTGAAGACTACAAGACTGAAAATCTCAGTTTTTCAGTCTTGTAGAAACCAGGTGCACCACTTGGAGAAATCTAAGGCTGCATTAAATTACTGATCAGTTAATAAAACCATTTGACCAGACACTGCAGGCGGATAGGGACGGTGTTTCATCTCAAGTGTGATGCAATAGTTCTCCAGATATATGCAACAAAAGAGCACAGAGCAGTTTACATGTGCCACAAGAAAAAGGA